CTATGATTCTAGTTCAGGACATGATGTACTGTGTGTAGAGTGTATTCTACCAGAACAGGTTCCAGGACACTGTGGCCACATCCTTCTCTTTGTTGGTGTGTATGAGAGGGGGCATCAAAGGCAGTTATTTGAATTTAGAAGGGCAAATAACACGGATCATATTCTTCCTGGCTGAGCATGATGACACAGCCAGACCATGGGTATAGTTCCACATTTTAAACTGGAACTGGAAAAACAAGTTGTGTGGGTGGAAAAAGGATAAATATAAAATGATGTCAAGGCTGTTCTGTCCTGGACCAGCTGGACAAAAGAGCTTGATGCACTTTGGATGAATTGTTCAAATTGGTCACATGTGCGCACATTATGAATATTGTTTCCAGAATTTGATTTTTTTTTTTAAATTGGGAAAATGTGAAATTTGAAGTAGTATGCAAGTTGGAGATAAACTGACTATAGGGGTGAAATTCAAGAAATACTGCCATCAGCTATGCTTCGAACGAAAGTATATTCCTTTCCCATTTGAAGGCATCATTCCCTTTAGGGTAGAGAGAATTTGCTGGCTGTCCCCTGTCTGATTTCAAGATCACTGAATGGTATCTAACCCCTTTAACGGTTGCAGATACTAGGAAATGCACACATCCTGATTTTATCATAGTTGATACAAAAACACTTGGGATACTATCACAAAAATTCACAGACCCAGAAACTTGAAAAGAAAAACATATCTGGAAAGCTGGCCCTTAGTTCTTGACTTACATTTGGAAGAAGCAAGTATGACCCAGTCAGACAACTTAAGTATTATTTTAAGATTATTGTTGTGTGCCTTCAAGTCATTTCCAACATACAATGATTCTAAGGTGAACCTGTCACAGGGTTTTCTGAGGGCTGTGTGACCTGTCCATGGTCATCTGATGGCATTCCATGACTGAGCAGGGATTCAAACCCTGATCTCTAGGAGTCGTAGTCTAATGCTCAAACCACTACACCACTGCAGCCTAATTCTGGATCATATGATTGAAACAAAGGCAGTGCAATTACTTGGGAGATTACAGGAAGGTGAGAGAGAGTAGAATACTCATACTCCTTTGATAATTCAGTAAAAGTGATGCTGGTCTAAAAATGTCATTTGAAAAGTTTGGAGTGTTCCAAAAGCATTTCACTCATTTTTTAAAATGAAAAATCAGGTTATATTAAATGAACCTAACTAACTGAAAAAATGGGTTTTGTCATTACCATTACCCTCAGTATATACTTTGGCACAGATACGGAGGCTGCAAGGAGAGGAGGAGAAAGTCCTGGAAATCCCTGCGCAAAAGTGCATTGCATTCATTATTAGGATGACAGATCTCATGCTTAACATGAAATGCATGCTTTTGGCACATCCTGTCACAGAAGGTGTACACAAAACCATTATATTGATAGTTATAAGAAATAGTGATGTGGTTCTTCACAAATCTTGGTCTTGACGGAAGCAATAAGTAATTTTAGCAATTTTCTCCCTGCTATGAGAAAGTATCTGAAAATGATGCTGTTTTAAAAGTTTGGAATATACTCTGCAGCAAATTTGCACTCCATTTTTTGCTCAGAAAACCCAGAATTTCCTGTGCCAAAACAGCATTATATGTGCAAAAAACATTGTTTCTGTGAAGTAATATTATTTTCTGCAAAGAAAATGCTGTGTCCCATACAGAAGATGATGTAGTTGGGGACTTTTCAATGAAAAATCCATACTTTTTTTCTATGTGTGAAGAAAATAATTTTTAAATGGGATATTGCTGTGCATAAATAGTAGAACTGAATTTCAAATGATAGTTCTCTTCAAAATATTCAGGATGACTACGATTTTATAGCAGCAACTCAGGTTTTTCAGTGGTAGATTTTACATTGTTGCAGAAAGTTTTTTCCTCCTCATATTATTACTTTTATTATTGTACAAGTCATACAACTTTTAGGAACTAATGATTTGTTTTAAGGGTTCAAATATTGTCAGTGTGTTCATGAATACTGTTAACTACACTAGGAATGCAAGCTGTTTGCTCTGTGCCTGTGTTATAAATGATATTTTTCTTCCTGCCAGGAAAAGCCCGAGATTCCCAGACAACAAGGATTGAATCAGACATTGTGCCAAAAGTAACCAAAATGACTGTATCAGGAAGAAAACAGACTACTGGTTTTGAAATTCCAGGGTAAGCCTTCACCCCTCTTCAGATATATTTACATCACTTCTTCAGAATGGTGCACCTGTAGCATGATTTTTCTTTCAATCTTTTTTAACAGAGATTTTGTTTAAAGTACACCACAAAACTATGCAACATAGCTTCTTGTTTGACTCATATTACAACATATCAAAAGAACTTCCATTTGTGATTTTAAGAAATCCTTTCACTCTGAGTAGCATACACGGAACAGTTAAGCTGCTTCATTTTAAAATAATCTGCTTCACATTGCTATAGTTTGTGGAGGCTTGTTCAAAAAATATCTTTGCAGAATGAATTGTTGCAATATATACTGTTGGAAATGTAATCATTCAGAGGAGAAAAGCAGGGCAAGGAGAGGGGAACAGAATTTTTGGCATCCAACTGAAACCCTGAGTCTGCTGTACCAGCACTGTCAGTCCTCTGTATGTTCCGGTTAAAGTTATTATCTTGCCCTTAGTTTACATTGCAACAAAATAAAAATGAAACCTAGAAGAGATGTGACCTCATACAGGGAGTCTTGCTGCATGTTAGTGTTACATTCCTGGACTTGCAGTGTACGTTAAGGCCAGCGTAAATGGGGAGCTAATGCCATATGGAATCATTGGAGGGATGTGTTCCAACGGAGCTGCTGTAGCCATGAAGTTAGCAATTTTATTCAATCCACTACCAGTTTTAAAGAGATTTAAAGTATAAAACATCAGATCTCACCTTTTCCAGATTAGGAAAATGTGCAGGTATTCTTCAGAGTTACCAGAAGAAGCAGGAACTGCTGTTCTAAGAGGGCTTGACTGGGGTGAGTTGGCTTGCCATTAGATGACAGTTCCTTTTCAGAGAATAACAAAGCCAGAGAACAACTGGTAAGAATTTTGTTCTGCTGTGTCTTCTCCAGCAGGCTTCCCAGGTGGAGAAAGCACATAAGAGAGAGAGAGTGCATTACATCTTCTATGTCTAGATGCCAAGTACCGTATTTTTCGGCATATAATACGCTCCAGCATATAAGATGCACCCAATTTTAAAGGAGGAAAATCTAG